GCACACAAACCACTTGGGCTACCAGCTTTCCTTCATATGCAAAAGAACTGTCATTCTGGTCCTGGAGCCCAAGGGTGAAATGTGAATTGCCTGTCCAAAATTGGTCCCAGGCAAAAAATAGCCAGAAAAACAGGTCTGTCTGGCAAGACACCTCCCCTGGGCTTCTTCTCATGTGCTCCTGAAACAGTGGATATACATGAGAGATGTAGGAGTCCTCGGTGGAGCAGATGGGGCAAGGCAAGGCTGGGAAATGCCAGGAGAACAGGTGTGTTGAATTCCAGGTAGGGGAGGGGTGAACAATGCAAGAGAGGGGTTCAAGAGCAAGGCAAAACAATTGGTGGCTTTGCAAGGCAGGAAAAGGGAGAGGTAGGCAAGGCAATCAGAGTCCTAGAAGGAGAAGGAAACAAAAGGGTTGATCCGGTGTCTTGGTTTGAAAAAATAAATGTCCACTAAGGAAGGCAGGAGCCTTCCTTGAAATGGAAAATGTAAACCCTCTCCCTGTGAATTATTATAATTTTGAAATTAAAGGGCTCTCAGGCAAAGATATGGGAGTAGGAATAACAGTTCTTTATTAGTATGTATAAATTTAAAAAAAAAATCCCTACAAATTAATAGGAAAATTAAAATAAAACGCAGTAGTACAAAAAACACCGACAGAATCAGAACGCAACCTGACACCCTGTTGGTCAGGGTGCCGGTAGCAGTCCCATTAAATGGTGGCTGCGGTCTTCCTGAAGTGACAGACATGGCTCTATTGAAGCAATGATCCTGTAGAAGGATCCTTCAGTTTTCCTCTGAAGGTCTGGTGGTGATGTAGAACGGTCTGGTCTTCCTCTGGGAATCTAGTAGAAAAAGGCTGCCTCTGGTGTTCCAAGTCTCATATCCAGGTAGGAATGCTTGGCTCCTCCTCCTGGTGGAGTATCTCACAATGGGATGATGGAATTTTATCAGTCATGCAGTGAAACTCAATGGCCCATTAACAGAAGATATCCCCCAGTTATGAGGTATGGGTTATGGGAGAGATAAAGAACACTGCCTTACCTGGTTTTAACAGATGGTAATAGAATACATGCTTTTGGTTATATCTTGCATTGCAGCCCAAGACATCTGGACAAACGGAAAGGGAAGTCAGATGGGGAATGGGTGAGCAAGTCAATACAAGGCAGTGGAGGGAAAGAAGGCCGAGGGGAGGCTACAGACTGGACAGCAAAGCAATGCAAGGCATGGGGAAGCAAGGCAAAATAAAGGAAATAAACAACAGGGACTTGAAATAAGTATGCGCAAAAGTGTACACGAAATAGTATTTATGAAAATGAAGGGTCCGCCCAGACATCAGAGCCGGAATGGGCCCCGCCTGGGGAGCCGGGGCTCGGGGCCGGGGCTGTCCCTCCTGGGACATCCCGGTCACCTGCGGTCACCAGCGCAGGGCAGAGGATGCTCACCCCCACGCCCAGGGCGCTCTCCCGGCCGTGCCGCTCACTGTAACCGAGCGCTGGGAGTTTCCTCAGGAACGCCCCAAGGATAACCAAACAGTGGCGAGCATCACATGACGGTTCCTGGGTTTTGTATCCCCAGGCACCACGGCACGGCTGCGAGGTGCACACAGGCACAGCTCGCACCTGGCATATCCCGCACGGTGGGCTCACCGCCCAGAGGGTGACCGAGGCCGTGGGACACTGCTCTGGGGATATTTATGGCCACCGAGGATCGCTCTGGGGAGCCTGGGCCCGCGAGGTCGCGCTCTCGAACGACGCTGGTGTCCCGGGGAGCCGTGCTCTCACTGACCGCCGGCAGCCCGGGGATGTGGGCGTGCGTGGGGTACCCACAGGAGTGTCTGAGGAGAGGCCAGGGAGGGCGCGAGCGGCCTGCGCCATCTCAAAAAAGCGCATCTCAGAGTCGTCCCCATCCCCATCCCCAGTCTCGGGCNGGAGCCGCGGCCCTCCCGCCGAGCCTTCCCGGCTGTGCGGCTGCCGTCGCCACAGACCTGCGGCCGCGCCCGCCTCACGCTGCGAGGTGGGCGTGGGCGGCCCGAGCTCCGCGAGCTGGCGCTGGTTCCTTCAGCGGGGCGGGAAGGGGGTCCCCAGCGCCGAGCTCCTCCGCGGGGCGGGACAGTGGTCTCGCATCTGATCCGCTCAGGAGGGGTCTCGCCGCAGACACCCTCAGCGAGGCGGGCAGGGGGATCCGGCCACTCCTACGCGGCAGACAAGGAAGGGGAAGGGCTCCCGCCCTGCCTCGTGCAGCCCTGGGTTTGCCCCTGCCCTCCCTTCAAGCAGCCGAAGCAGCTGCAGGGTAACGCAGCCCTCTCTGCCTAAACAGCACATGGAACTCAATTAATTAAGACTGGCTTTTAAAAGCCTGTCCATCCCCACACTTGGCACAAGGAGCTGCTCAGCCATTTCCTAATTTCATGAACATGTACCAGTGCTATTCTGGAAAATTACATATAAACAGTACGTAGAACACATGTGGTCGCCTTTTGTCTGTGTTTTATTGGTTCAGAGCACAATTATGGGAGTTACAAAGTCATTGCAGTTTGGGTGAGGAAGCTCAGAAGCAGGAAGACAGGGACAGAAATTATTCAGCCTTGTGGAAGAAATTCTGTCCTTCATCTAGAATACAGACCAGAGTTAGTTCCTATGTTGCCTAGAGGGGAAAAAAAACCCCAAAACCAAACCAAACAAAAAAAACCTCCAAAAACCCCAAAACAAACAAACAAACACCAAACAAAACAAAACAAAAACACCCAAAAAAACAAAACAAAAAAAGAAAAACAAAGTAGCAATACAGATTTGCAAACAGCATGAAAATAAACATTCACCTTTTCTTAAAAATAAAATCATCTCTCTATATATCATTTGCACTTCACTTGTAGTTAATTGGGTAAGTGAAGTCTGCACTTTTCCACTGCATACAAAAATATGTCTGTGGGTGAGGCAGCACTGAAAGAGCGGATGCAGCAGAGAAGGGTGTCTGTCCCAAAGGAAGTGTCACAGGAGCATCATCCCTTTATGCTGTTCTACAAAGGTGTTAAACTAAGTCAGAAACGAACACAATGGTAGAATCTCCCTGAGAAATCAAAACCCGTTCTGAAGCAAGTCCAGGAATGTGAGAGCCCAGTACCAAGACGAGGCTTGGGACGCCCGTCAGAGCTGTGTGTTCTGGACACGCCTCTGGAGGGGTGGCAAAGGCAGAAAAGGTCACAGCTGCAGTAAGTCAGCCACTTACTCAAGGAAGCTATTCAAGATTAACTAGGGTGAAATTCTCAAGACTTACTGGATGTTCACAGAGTTCTCAGTCACTCTGGAGGCAGTACAGTGTATTCAGTAGTACAGTTTAAGTAACACACACTTTCCACAATTCATTAAACCTGTTAATTCCTCAGATGGGGAAAATGCTCATAACTTACACCTTTATTTCACAAATTGAACTAACAGTAAGTACCAACTACATGCTCAGAACTTGTGCAGCATTTGTTCACACCAGCAGCTTCTTCCTGATGCGCTCTGCTGAAGACAATAAAAAATTTTTGAAGCAACTACAACACATCCAAGAGTACAACTTCTCAGTATGTTTTGCATTCCATGCCATGCCATTTCTTTAAACCTCCAGATGGTGAGAAGAACATCATGCAACATAAAAGCTTAATTTAAGTATCTCGTATCTTGAAGATTAGAATCTTTCTAAAGAAAAAATATTGCAAAATCTTATTATCTTGATTACTTTGGTATAGTTCAAGAAGATATATTTGGTATAGTTGGAAGAAGAATAATTTATAAAAAAGGCAATTTACTAGGTAATAAAAACTGAATACATTCTACATGTGTACCAAAAACCTGCCTCTGACCTACAAGTGTGCAGTTTTTGTATTATGACTGCTTGTTGGCAACCAAAAATTGATCCAGACAGAAGCTGAAATAAATCACCATTTTTATGTAGTGTAGGTGTGTCTGCTAATTCCTTTTTATCAAATACAGAATACAAATGTACTTAAAATGTCACTAACTACTGTGAGGACTTGAGGACTGCTGAGCATCTAAACTCAGTTCAGATCTATGGGATATGTAAGATAATGCTTAAACAGCGGCTCCTCAAGCAGCAAATTTGTCTGCAACAAGTCTGAAAACAAGCACAACAAAACAAACCAGAATCAATAAATAGTAAGTATGACACTCTAGCTTTGTGTTGCTAAGGGCAGAGACAATATATCCTTTCAGCTAAATACAGCTGATGAGGGGAACACATAGAAAATACACTTTAGAAGTTATCTGTCATCTCTGAGTTTCCAATTTATTTCTTAGGATGTCTCAATTATTAACTTACTTTTATTTTGGGTAAATAAAACCCTTCTTTCCTTAGATTTCCTAATTTTTACCAGCTGCAATCTACTGCCAAATCACGATAATTTGGAAGACAGAAACTATTGTTAATGTAACAGCTAACAAGTATTTGCCAAATCCCTCCATTTGGGATTTGCTCTTCAGTGTTGAAGGAAACTGGACAAACAGTATTTGCTATACTGATGTAATGCTATTTGTGCTCCAGGTTATTTCAGTCATACCTTTCACATAATGCTGATTTAAAGCAACAACAAAAAAAAGAGAATGTTAACAGCTTAAGTCAGTAGATGATTCTTAATCAAATCAGAAATTGTGTCTCGTTAGCTTTACAGGCATTGCTTAGAAGTTACTTTAAAAGGGCATTTCATGACACTAAATGTCTGGAAAAATGGTTTCTTAGGAAACTCAAGGTTATCAAAATAATATACTTAGATTTAAGTGATCACTACAGAAATAAAGGATTTTCCTGGACAACTCTAAAGAACAGTGATGTTTAGGAACAAGCAAAGACAGACAAAAACCTTTGTGGTTTATCACTAGTTAAACTAAGCTTTACAGATACAGCTCAGCTAGACATCTTTCCACAACAAATATATCAAAAGTAGAGTGGAAACGCCAACTGTATAAAACCATGTGGAATATTTCATACAAAATACTCCAAAATGCTTTTCATTATGTAACTTTTATTGGAGACACACATTGTAAAAAAGTTCACAGGAAATAATAAAACTATTGGACTATGAAGGTTTTCTTAGGAGCTGGGTTTTTTTTGTCTATATACATCAATACACATTTAATGATTATGTTTACAAGTTAACCACATGACAAGTTCACTTTTATCTGCAGGAGCTTTTCACATTACACCTTTATACCAGAGGTAAAATGTGCTTAAACACACACAGCAGAACACTTCTATTTCAAAATTAAGCATTTTCTCAAGGACTATACTTTTTATTCTGAATTTAGTAGCTATATAGCATTAAAATAATGGTAATTGAAGTTTTATTTGCAAAATGTTCGTAAGGCCATAGGAATGCACTGAAATAGTTAAATTCACCAGAAACAAGAAAAATCAATGTAAATTCTGCTTTTTTTTTTTTTGAAGAAAGTAATACAAGTTTTATTTATACGAGTGAGAATGGTATAAGCAGTTCAATGAACAGAGGAGAAAAAAGACCTATTATCATCTACAGACCAATCCTTAGCAAGTTTAACACTACAAAAATTCTGTTACATTAACAGGTGATTAAACTACAGATGCATTTTCACAAATAACACATTTATGTATTTTACATATTATTGATGGACTTTCAAATCATTATGCTTTCACAATATTCTAATGTGATCTGATTCAAGACTTCTTTATTCACTTGTGAAAATGATCCACAAAATTCACTTAACTTTAGCAGACTAGTAGGAGAAAGTCACAATAGGAAATATTTTCTGTAAAAAGAACTACAGGTCTGAAAAGTCAATCAGCATTTTCGAGACAGTCCCCCAAAGAGAAAAGTGAGCTGAATTAGGTTTCATGAGTGGTTTAAGCTTTAGCAATATTAGAACTCCCAAACAGGTCAATAACATATTCTGTATACACTCAACAAAAAATTCTTGTGCATGTTTTGCTGAGCACAGACTGAAAGCTAAACTGCAAAGCACTGAGACCAGTTTGTTTTTCACTTGGCTTTTTAAAAAAACATTTAGAAAAATATTGGTCAAGATATAGTGCACAGGCTGAGGGAAAGTTCTCCTAAAACTCCAAAGCATGAGCAGCATTTTTGTTTTATTGAAATCCACCAAAAAAATGTCTGCTTTCCTGAAAGGTTAATGGCAATTTCTGGAAGAAAAAAGAAATACATCTGCTGCTAAATGAATAATAAGTATATGACTTTCATTAGAGTACTAACTGGTTGACTGAGGTATAGTTAGGAGTCCTTCAAAACTTAAGATTATATAGTCTTGAGCAAAGTAACAACAGAGACTGCACAAAACAACCATAGTGATATTAGAAAAGCCTGTAATACCCAGCATCTGATGCATAGGCAAAACATACCATTATCATCACCCGCTTGTCTAGAGGAAACCATATCTAAAATATCCCAGTAAAACATACAGCTGATTTGCATGCTAAGATACAGCACATTTTTCCATGTCTGACAGGGCAGACTGTATACACAGAAAGGTCTCTACTGACCAAAAGTTAGCACACTGATAAAGTGCAGCCACTCAACCATTTAATACTGCTGGAGAAGTGGGGTGAGGGCAAAGACAAAGAAAGAAATCTGCATTTTACCTTATCCATAAGATCACATGAAATTAGAATTCTTCAGTTTCAGCAGATGACAACAAAATTGCATTAAATTCTTCTACAAATAGAAAAAGATGAACTGTACACAAACAATAAGCAAAATGAAATATTTACTGCAGTACTTTCTCATGCATAAAGTGAATTTCCTATGGTCTTACCTCACATTTATGTACACTTTAGCACAGCTAAATGTAAGAAAATAGCAAGTTTTTTTTCTCCCTCCCACCCTCCCCCATACAGAGCAGATACCCCAATTCGCTGCTGCTTCAAGAAGCACTTCATAGACTCTACTACTTACAGGCTCTTTCAAAGGGAAGTTCATGGAGACTAATATTGACTGAACATTTAACCACACAGTGAAGACAGGAAAAAAAATACAAAGCATTCTGTAAACAGTGCCAAACACAGAACATGTCAGTTTTGGTTTGCAGACAACCCCTGAGATAAAAATCAAAGTATTACGACACCAAATAAGTCAGAGGTAAATTACTGAAAATAAACAACATTCATAATTGGTGTCACAACACTTTCTGTATAGAAGCACTTTTTTTTTTACCATACAGAAAACGTAACTGCTTAAGCCTGTCCAAGAAAAGCAGTAAAGGGTATACAACAGAGCAGTTAGGGTTGCTTTGTTTTTTCACTAAACCTTGTTGCCATGAAGGTTTCTCTGTTCTAGTGCAGCAACAGCAGTTTATGAGATCCACCATCTAGAACTACTTCTATTAAAGTACGTGCAGGGACAGGCTGATAACCACCAAAAACTTGATGGAACCAGCTACTAAGGTTAAACCTTTTAAAATCAAAAGCTTTACAACTAACACTACTGGCCTGTTCACTTTCAAACTATTTTGAACAGACCCAGAGATGACAAATTCAGTACCTGACACAATAAAATGGTTATCTGTGGTAACAACTAATTCACTGTTTACAACTCCAGACAACGAAGAGAAGCAAAAGCAAGCAAGTCAGATGTTTCTTTTGACAATGACAGAACACACCCATCCCCTAACAGCAAACATGCTGGACACAAACTTGTAGTTAAAGCTTACAATGGTCCACGTTTGGCACACCAACAAAACTAAAGCACCTTTTAATTGCTCATTGAGGAAATTTTTCAGAAGACAATAAAAAAGTAGTAGAACAAAGACTAAGTTATACAATGCTCAGTTGAGTAAAAAAGGCAACTATGTTTCACCTCTGCTTCTAACAGTCTAGGTCACTGTACCAGATTCTGATGAAAAAACAACTGCTCAAGCAGACCAAAGACACACATTCAGCATTAACTGCATAACTAGGAGTACATTTTAGCCCTAATGTGAGGCTTCCTTAGTGCCAATGCTTACAGACATTAACGAACTATCCGTAGAATTGAGTAGAAATGAAAGTCACCTTTAGTAGCAGTCATTTCTGAACAAGTGAATCCACAAAGAGGTTACTCAAAACTCATGCATTCAGCTTCCACAAGCCACTTAAGTGATAGCGACGAGGCCAATTTGTGGTTATGGATTTCAAATCCACAGTATGCTTCCTCACAAGAAACAAAAAAAGGAGCACACAGTCTGAGCTAACAAAGGGAAGTTAAGTGAGGAAAGACACTGTTTATTCAAATAACTGAAAGGTGCATCTGTGAATCAGTGACTGGCAATTCAGAACATAACTTTGCTAAGTCTGGTAAAGAAAGAAAAGCAAAGTACTACATTCAGAATAGAAGCTATAGCTTCTGCATAAACAGATTTGTGCACCTAAGAGATAAAATCTGTACAAATTGTTAAATGCCAATTATTACAGTAATTCTCATCACTAGAGCAACAACATCCATACTGCATGGCCATGAGTACACAGCATAGAAAATAATGGAAATGAGACTTAATTTTATCCCTGGCTCTTCTGCTTGAAGATAAATTTGTTTAAAAAGAGAAAGAGAATTGTGCACAAATCTGCTAATAATCTTACTTACAAGTCAAACTGTGCAAATACAAATGTAAGATTGTGCTGTAACAGGCAGTAAGAGGCCAATATGGATGTGCAAAGTTAAAAGAAACATAGCAGCTTTTGCAACAGGCAATAAAACAGAAAGTAAAAAAGGAAAACAAGTTAAATCTTGCATTTGTGTCTCCACTTCATAGCTTCCATATCTGAGAAAGAAGAGCCTGACAGGTCAATAGGCTTAGTGAGCAAAATCCACTTGGTATTTGTGTATCGCAGTCTACGTTCAATGAAGCTCTCAGCAGCAGCTTGGTGGTATTATTTCTGAGGCTTTGTGACCCTGTGCTTTCAAAGAAGCAGAAAAGGTTCTAAGTGTGCTGCAGTCTTATCATTAGAAGTTCATCAAAGTAGCGTGCATCGAAAGAAGCTGCTCTTCTTAGATCGATTTTCTGTTATTTTTACTGGCCCACCTGCCCCCGATGAACTGCTGTCATTCTGAAAAAGAAGAGTGTAAGCATCATAAAATGCAGAAAATAGTATCTCTAGCTTTCCTAGTCTCCCTCCCACTTCCTCCCCTTGCAACGCAATAACCAGAGTAGAGATCTGATACAACCAGAGCTCCTCAGTTAACCAGACTTTGTTAATCACTTGGTAAAAAAAATAAAACATTTACATAACAATCCAAATCCCAATAATTAGCTGGGGAAGAGACAACATAATAAAACACAGATCACACTATTGGATTTTGGAACAACACATCAGTTTCAGGTTGCCCAATGTTAATGTTCATGCAAAATAATGAATAGTTATGCACTGATGTGTAATAAAGCATGATAAATCACTCTTTGCTCAAATTTGATCTAGTAACTAATGTAATCCCCAAGAGTTTTTTGGTAGAGCTACTACTCAGTATTATGATAGCTACCCTCTCACTGTATCTAGTTTGTATGCTAACTGGAAATACAAACCATTTTTCTGTTGAGCTTTGTCATAATGTCTCGTGCAAGTGTGAAAAATGCCTGGTGAGGAGTGAAAATAAAGAAAAAACAAACAAGAGTTAGTCACAAGACACATTAAGAACATGATAAATTTGGAATAGCCAGACACACTAATAATACAGTGTTCTGTAGGCTACTAGGAGCACTTTTAGTTTCAAGACAGTCTACATACAATATCTGTATATTAGAAACTTCAGTAAACATGCTTTAGAAGAAAAAGCTATTTATTTTTAGTCTCCATCTCGCCAATCTTTGAAGCAAGTGAACAGACCTTCCCATTGCATACCTCTGAGGGGAGAAAGAAAAATCAGCTGAAGACAAGGCTGCATTTACCAATCCTGGTTTTATCTCCCCCCAAAACTGAACCGTGCATTCACAATTAGGAACCCAGAGAGGTTTGAGGAGGGCAGGCCTGGGAATTCACATTAAGGTTATCTTATTTTCTGTCCTCCAAAAGCTCTACTCCTGGACAATCTATAAGGCTATTTAAGCTTCCAATATGTCTATTAAAAAAAAGCCAAAAACCCATGAATAATTACTCTGGAAAATCTCAGTATCCCAGATTTCAGTGTATGAAGGAGCAAAGAAACTTCTGTAGCAGGAAAATTCTTCAATTCTCCAGGAGCAGGAAAAAGCAATACTTTAGGCTATCTGGAGACCCTCATAATCTAAGGACAATTCCAGAATGTAGGTATAAACACTTCCCCTCTCATTGTGTTTGAAAAACAGCCAAACACAGGCACTCATTTAATGTAAATAAATCACAACAAATAAATTAATTCACTTACGATCCCAAAAATGTCACAACTGTCTAATTCTCTGCAAGTGAAGAACTTGGTGTAAAGTAAACTAAATCATCAGTGATTGCCAAATGCCTACACCAGCTGCATTTTTTAATGCTTTCTTCACCATTCACGTGACTATTAAAAAAATATTCAGAGAGCCAAACATTTTGGAGTAAGCACAAACTACTGTTGTGCATTTCATAACATACAGGGGGTAAAATGAAACTGCCATGTCATGACAGACCAAGTCAACCCTCCAGAGGATCTCGGGTTTCCACTCTGGTATTGACTCCTCATGGTCCCACTTTCAGTGTCTGCTCTAAGAATCACAAGGACACTGTGAAAATCATGTCAAGCTAGTCCAGGTGCAGCATGATGCAGATCAGTCCATTCTAACTCTATCCTGTATAACAATCACCCTGCAATCAGAAAAAAAACAGGGCCTGGCTGGCACAACATCCCTCTTGTTTAAAGTAACAAGATCTTCAGTTTCTAGTCAATTTGTCAGATACATGAGCTGAATGAAGCAGGTGTTTGCAGGACTTTTAAAGGGTACCCATCCCATAGAAAAACTTTTAAATTATTAAGTATAAGCACAACACAAGTCTACATTATTGGATGAATAAATCTTAATTTAACTGGCTTTTGATACAGTTATTTTTTTTGTCCACACTTCTTATACAGCTCAGATCCTCCCCCCACCCTCCCTGAGATAACACAAGTGATTTATAGTAAGATAGTCCAGTCTTGGGCCACTCCTCCTTCTGACTCTATTTCCTTATGCTCTCATAGAGATCTTGTGGATTTAATAGAAAATTTATTTGCAAGAAAACAGATTATAAATCTATAAATAGCACTGTGAATCTTCTTCCTCTTCTAACATGAGCTTATGACCTGGTGTTCCAGGTTAATACACAAATTTTCAGCCTCATCTGCACAACATGTATTTAGTAGTAATCTGACGGCTCCATGATACAGTAGCATGTTATCCTGAAAGTAAAGAATCCCATTTCCTGCACAAGGCACTGTTCTAAAATTATACCTGTTCCTTGTCCAAACGGATTTGAAATTTAAATAGCAAGTCACAGACATCTAAAGCAACTGTTTGCTACAGTAGTAGTAAACCACTCCACTAACACAAATTTTTAAAACAATTCCAGACAATACCAGAAAAGCAGAAACAGCTGGATCATAGCAGTAGGCCCAGGAGCATAGCTGTGACTTCAGGCCTCAGGTCAGGTGAGAAAGCCTAGCAGATCATGAAGCATATCTCCACAGGAGTAGTTCAAGTAACACCTAAGTGTAGCACCCATCTCTTACCTCTTCCACATTTATGCTGGATTTTGCACTTGTCTCCAAAAATTTGATTCCGTAATCAATTGCTAACTGGAAAAGAGGTTAAAGATTTTCAGTGGTTTTGAAGCTCCTTTGTAAAAGAAATGTTTCACACATAGGTTCACAATAGGTTCATAACAGAATAGATGCTGCATGCTACAAGCTTTAAAAACCAAACCAAGCAAGCTTCACTTCTATCTTCTTTTGCAAAAACATTAAAGACAATTAGACAAAGTATTAGAACTTGTCATACCCTCACACAGTCAAAACAAAACAAAGAAAAGACATTAATTTCTCACCAAAATACTTCTTTACGCTCTAAAAGAACATTAGGGTAGAATCTTTATTGATACAGATTGTGGACCAGATAACTACAATACAATCATCCCATAAGCTGTTACCAACAGCTAGACTACTTCAGCTGTACACAATAGATTTTGTAGTATTCTTTGTCACTTGTTTGTTTTGTAGAACAACTAATTAATTGCTTAAATTTAGTAACAGCTCTTATAACAAAAATAAGTAACCACAACAGTGAATTGAGTATACCATAGTCAAACTATACAGAAAACTTTATACTGAGATCTAGAATACTTCATGCTGTAGCAAAGGTCAACATTCCTTACAGGATCTTGCCCTCACACAACAATACCACAAAGTTTTTATTCAAACCTGAAGACAGTTAAGTGCTATTTAAAAACAAAAAAACCCAAACCTGGCATCCTATACAGAAAAAAGTTTCTGAAACAAGAGGATTGAGATCCATTCTCTCTCACATGCCTAAAACATACCAAACATCCAGAAGCCTACAAGAAGTAGGCTTCTAAATAGGACGAGCTACCAAATCTTACCTTCTCCCCTTTTTCTTTCGAGACTTGTCTTTTTTCATTCATATCACATTTGTTACCCAAGATCATTCTTTCTACATCTGAAGAGGCATGCTGGAAGAAGAAAAAGTAATCTCTCAGGAACAAAGTGCATTATTGTTGAAAAGAAACTTGTGTGTCAAACTCCTCCACACTGACTATTTTATTTTAGAGAAATTATCTAATGTAAAGGCATTACCGAGAGAGGCTGACTCTTGAAACAAGCAATATTAAAATAGGCAGGAATAAATACTCCTAGATTACATTTTCCCATGTACTGTAATAGATCAAATGCGTTCCATGAGCTCTGTAGAAGGTTGCACACATGCCCAGGCATTTGGCTATTCTGAAAATGTAACACAGTACATTTCCAGAGTACACACTACTTGTAAGTGGTGTATGGTCATATATTGTTGGCTACTGCAATGGAAATGATTAATTACTTGATTTTCATTTGTCCGAGGGAAATCATAAAATGGAGAAGCACTTACCTCCTCTATGTTTCTTATCCAATTTTTTATGTTGTCAAAAGACTTCTCATTTGTGATGTCATACACTAGCATAATTCCCTAAATAGAGTTAGGAAAATCTAGTTAGATGAGCTAGTACTATTGGTTGACTTTTAATGTATGCTGTAGTTTAAATTACAGTTCCAAAAAAATTCAACATAGGATTATAGGTGAGTAAGTCTTTTCTCAAGGCATTATGTCATGGCTTGGAATTTTCCCAAAATTTAACATTTTTTGCCACCGTTAGAGGTCAAACATACTGCCAATACAAAGGTTTTAATTATAAGCCTATAGTCAAGGCAAGTTTAGTAATTCTAGTATACCAGCAACGAGGACTCTACAGTTCAAGTCATGTTTAGGTGCAGCAGCTTTAAGCAGTCCAGGATATCAAACCTATCAGCTCCAATCTGCTGGGACCAGCAGACACTTTCACCTCTGGGGCTCTCTCAGAAGCTTTAGCTCTTTCCAACTACAGACTTGCCAACTACTGTACTTTCCAAGTACAGACACTGGCATGGGACCTCAACAGTTAGCAAGGCATGGGAAACCATAGAGCCACTGCATTAAGGATAGATTGCAAGGTTCACCTCCATTTCCTAAGGCCTTTCCAGTCATTCCTCATAGGACAAATAAAAGTCCTTGGCCATGGACTGGGGAAAAGAACAGGTCATTGCCAAAGCCTTTTTAAGCACTGGAGAGCTCTAATACAGAGACACAATCATTATTATTTCTCTGTTATTCTGTAACAGTGGAGTTATTTGGACCCACAGCCTATGAATGTCACAGATCTGTTCACACAAAGCAGCAAGAACCTAAAATGGGAGTAACCACCAAGTCAAAATTAAAGGTGTCCCAATATAAAATATCTCAAATCATAGCATTAAGAACCACTACAAGCACTGTACTACAAGGGTGCAGGCTCTAAGTCAATTATTTGACTTCAAGTCACTCTCAATGGAGGAAAACATAAGTGTGGTAGATGATTGTATTTCTAGCCCAGACTTTGCATTATCTACTGGCTGAAGGAAAAGCAACTCAGTGAAACACACTTTTAATATTAAAATAATTCATTATCCCTTTTTGAAATGCTTCAAGTGTTTAAAGGGTTTGACTGCATTTAAAAAAAACCAACCCAAACCTATCTGATTAAAGCTTGATAACTTATTTTATTAAAATCTGCAGAAATTTTCATTATATTAATAGAGACAACGGGGCTGGAATTTCCATCACAAAAAACAGGCCTAGACCGAGTACCAGCACCTTTAAGAAAAGGGAAAACAAACAAACAGTAAACCCCCAACCAAACCACAAACTTCATTTCCCACATCTCAAGCCACAATTATTCAGTCCTCCAGTGGATGACTTACATGACACAAACTTAGGACCAGCAAACCAGTTCCACTAGTTGTGTTTAGGTTTTTTGAAGTGTGAGCACTCACCATGGCTCCTCTGTAGTAAGCTGTTGTGATTGTGCGGAATCTCTCCTGGCCTGCTGTATCCCTACAATTCAGTGAAAAAAAAGGATTTGTTTTACCCTCATCTGTACTTAAAGACGTCTTATTAAAGAGAGTAACAATGCATCGATACTTGTTCATTAGGAAAAACACACCTTTGGCTGTCTGCTCAAGTTTTTTCAGCCCTCAGCAGTTTCTTCACTCCCAAGCTACCTGCCTTACATCAGTAGTTAGAGCAGCACCAGAAACATGGCACTCGTTTTCATGAAAGCAATAAAACTCAGCACCACACAGCCTGCTCTCCAGTAATTAAAAAAAAACAAAACCAAAAAAAACCCAGCTCTGATGCATCCAAGTCTTATACAGAAGTTAAAACACAGAGCAATAAAATATTTCAGGATAGTGCACTGTCACTGTTTGCTGCTAAGGTCAGCCACTACACTTGAGTGTGTTGGTGTTTTGTCCTGGGTGACTTGAAAGCAGTACCTGCCTGTGAGTGAGCCAACAGACCCAAGTGTTTGGATACCAGTCACTCCTCAGGAGAGCTGAACCCCAAAGACCTGACAAAACCCAGCTTTTTTAACCTATATTACAGACAGAAAATTTTTATCAGCCACTTCTGGTACTGTACCTCCTTAGTCACAAGGATTCTGTCTCAGGAGACTCAGTTTCTACTAAGCCACCACGCAGGAACGGGAGCATTATCACTCACCCATGCCTTGGCGAGTACAGCCAGGTATCAAAGTACCAGAGGAGATTAGATTTTATTGGCTTGCATATTTTAGCTTACAGCTATTGAGTTAATACTTCTCCACACAGAAAAGCTAAAAGCACATTTAAGAGGACAGCTTTTGATAAAATAGGAAATTACTGTAATGTTTGCATGTGAACAGGCTATTTCCAGTGCTACTGAAGCAGAACCACTCCAAGGGCAAGCCAAAAGAAAGCATAAACCTTATGGACAGTCAATGAATAAAAGGTATGAGACTTCTGGTATACTGAAACTCAAAAGCTATGAAGAATTTTTTTTCAAAGTGACTGAAAACCTGAATTACTTTGGAATACTTACCATATTTGTAGCTTGATTTTCTTTCCATCTAATTCTATTGTTCTGATTTTAAAGTCGATTCCTGCCAGAGAAAGAGACACTCCTAAGTTTTGCAGTTAATGAAAAGTGAGTGTTCAATTTCCTTTTGGCAATTTGGTAAGAGCAAACTTGGTCAAAAGAACTATTCTGAAGCTGCCATTTCTTCCACACACTTGGAAGTGCTGAGAATGCACAATGGTTTTCAGCTGCATCCAACACGGCAAGGATAAATTATTCTGCACAGTGAAAGCAAGGCCAAACTCAGACTCATTACTAGTTAGTCAAGATCACGAGAGGAAGACTTGATCTCCAAATCCTTCCATTTTACACCAATAATGTCACTAGTAGGAATGTGTATTTTATTTTCCTGAACATCTGAGCAGTCCCTGCAGTTTAAGTCAATTCCCTGGTACCCCTGGCTTAGAGTTAAAAATACATCCTGTGACCCCTTAGTTCCTTTTCAAAGCCAGCATCTACTTTTGAAAATTGATGTTTGATGCAATCTTATCAGACATCACAGTAAATGGTAATACTTACAGGAGATGTAAGATTATTTTTTCAAGAATACTCATTTGGGAGCAATTAAGATTTTCTAGGATGCTCTAAAATGTATCAAGAAAACACTTCTCTCTTTTTCCCATTTATACTTCCACATGGTATCCATCAGTTCTCAGATTTACTTTGAAAATAAATTTCAGATTTTAAGCCATAGCTTGTCAAAAAATATTGAAAAAAATAATTCAGAAGGGCTTAATAATGCCTTTTTAAGGTTTAGAGGGGTGAAATGGATTTCCAAAAAGACTAGCCTTAATCCTAACTACTTTAACTTTTGGATTTCTAAATCTGTATTTATTGACACATTTTGTATTTATTTGACAGAGGTCAAATTAAGACTGCTCAAGCCTCACTACTCCACAACTGCCAGATTTTTCAATCCTGTGACAGTACCCTCCCAAATTAATTTGTATGAAAATGAATTGCCCGTTTTTTCTTCACTGCATCTTAAATAGTTACTTGATATTTAGTTGTAGCTTGTAAAAGATGGAGGTAAGTTAGAAGAAATTAAATAAGCTTTCTTAAGATGTAATTTAATCGACAATTATCAGGAGTATCCTAACTGGAAAAATGCTGTTTCTAGCTTTAAGAATTCAACCATCTATTAAACAGGAAGCTATGGGAGTTTTTGCTACACCACAGCAGAAACTGAATACGAAATATCGATGTTCGTTAGTTATCTGAATTCCATTCTTCTCACATGCAATATTACTATTTAATATACTGAAAATAACAAGATTCAGCCACTTAATGTGCCATGGATACATAGTTCAGCTTATCAGTTAGAATACAAATTATGAGCAAAAATATCACATCAGCACTTAAACAGCACATTAAATTAATTGCATTAATTTAAAATGCTATGATTACTAGTACAATTGCAATTTCACAAGATTCACTGGTAGATTTACAGGAAAAAACATACTTCCATTAATTTCCACTCTTCTAAGAAAAATGACATGAGAATTAAATGCACTTTCAAAAAAATCCATATTCTTTGTAATATAAGTTTGGCAAGTGTTTCTATTTTGCATTGAACAGGATACTGCCTCCCTTGTTGTAAAGACTTTTCTCCTAACTAGGTGCAATTACAGCTGCTGAAATCACAGATAATTGTATTCAGGTTTGAAAACAAATAACCTTTGCTCTGAGTAGATTCTGTTTCGGCCTCAAAGGTTATAAAGCACAAATACATATTTCTCTGTAAGGAGCATTTTATCATGGCAACAGCAAATTAAATCAGTTTTAAAAGTCCATTTGTGTCTAAGCCTGAAGCTTTAGGAAACAACTGTCAGGAAAATTACATTCAGAGACTGCTGTGGTTTAAAGAGAATTCTGCCTGTACTGTGAACCACAGAAGCCAAGACATGAGTGACAGCCTCCTGTAGGGGTGGCTTTCTGAGGACTCCTGACTGCAGCACAGGCTTCCCATGTGCACCAAGCCAGGTCTTGCACAGACTGGTTTCTTGTGGTTACTCATTTCCCTTGAAATGCTGAAATGATTTATACAACCACTCCTTTGATGACTTCTAGAAGTCAGGACCTGCACAAAAAATATCTTCTCAGAACCTAAGATTTCTAGTATGAACTTCACCAAAATTCTCCAAGAACTGTTTCAAAGCTAAAAGAAGAATATAGAGGGAAAGGCTGTAAGTATCTCTGCAACTGTAACTTTCTGGAGGTTAAAATGAACTAGAATCTGATGTTTCTTTTGTTCTTTCATTTCAGTATGAGGAAGTGGTGAGCTACACACATTCAGAGCAAGCCTGGTGACATGTGCTGCCACTTCCGGCCAAGTGCTCTTGCATGGCTAAGCACAAACCACGATCTGGTTGCAGCTACACTGAAATTATGCCATGTAAATACAACACTGCAACAACTATAGCATTTCAACACTGACTCTTTACAGAAGATTGCCGTTAATCCATTCTTCTTTTGCACAGTCATACATTGGGATACAAAAGTTTGAAAAGTTACTTGAGCCAAATAAAGAGGAGTTATTTGTGAATCAAAGTTTGATTGCAAAGGGTCACATAGTAGAGCTGTCCCATGAGAGTCTGACACACTAGTGCCCACCCAGCTTGTCAGTAAATATTAGATCAGTGCTATACAGAAGCATTTGTTGCAGGAACCACAAACCTGCATTCTGCACGAATAGAACCCAGAATGTCCAATCTGAACATTAGTTAGGGCTAACTGCTTGCATTTCCCTTGCAGCATGGGGTAAAAGTAGCTGAGGGCTTATTGTTCTTCAAAATCCTTTCCAGATCCTTGCTAACTACAGACCAAGGATGCAACCTCTCTCCTCACTTTTCTGAGGGTATTTGCTTCCATAGCTTCCAACAAAACTCTGTCTAAGAATACCCTGGGCAGCATTGTTAGTGCCACACAAAACCACGGGAGCTGTATGTTGTTGTGTCTACCTTGCACTGCTCTGCAAAGCTAATAAAATTCAGGGCATGCCTGGTCAGTGACACACAGCCAAATGCCACTGGTCTCACCTGGCCTCTTCTGGTTTAAGCCAAGAAGTCATGTCCATCTCATATCCCAAAGCTTTCCTGCCACTGCCTCTTCCCCTACTCCACTTCCCAGTTAAGTTTCTTCTTATTCCAACATACCATGGCAGATTTTACTCATAATTAAGCTGCAATGCAATAATTTTAAAGAGACACTGTGAAATATTACAAAGAGTTCACAATACTACAATAGTAAACATCCAGGACTGCCCAACAGAACATATGGAACAGTTCCTTCCCAACTCCAGTACCAGTGGTTTTCTACCATGAACCTTAACAAACCAGCCTGACGCAATTCTCAGAGGAATGTAAGGACAAATGGAGCAGGGAGGCTGAAAAAGTTAATTTTGTTACTTTAGTTTTTAGAACAGTAGCTTACTCTCTGGACATCACTGTTACTCTTTTGTTCTCCCCTCACCCTGATTTTAACCCTGTAGCCATCAGAGCCAATATCTCAGGTTTTTCATGCTACAGTATCTGTTCCAGCTAGGACTCCACAACAACTTCTCCCTACACAGTACCACTGCTTGGACAGACTGTCTTGTTTCTTCTTTTCAACAAAATTGCTGTTGCAGAAAATGCTACAGCACAAAGAAACCAAAGAAACCAAACCAAAGTATTCTGGTTGGAGCCAGTAAGCTGTTCCAACTGTACCAGAAAATAATTCCTGAAGGTAAAGGTTTCTTGAGACTTCAGTCTGCTCAGCAAAATGCTTCTGGAAGGGCCATGATCTTGAATGTTTTCTACAAGCAGTAAAAGGCAGACAGAAAAGAAGCATACAAATTAGTGTAAAAAAACCAAACTGAAACAAAAAATCCTGCCACCAGTGGGCAAATACTAGAATTCTAAACCTTTACCTTCATTATGCAATTCACCAGTATTTTAAATTCATTTTTCATGTCACTCAACACTAGTTCACAGCAGTAGGACCTTATATGTGCAGCTGTAGCAAGAAATCAGCACAATTCAGGATGTAAATCAATCTCTGATAGCATACACTAGCCTGTATATCTAGCCCAGCAGAGTATTACTACATCTCTGACAAATCAATACTTTTTATTTTTTTAAGTGTTCAATGTACTAGCATTTTAATTTGTTTACCGTCTGGTTTTATTTAATATATAAGTCAAAGAAATTTTAAGTCAGTGACATAAAAACTGGCAAAGAAGCTGTGAAAAAATTAATACCAGATTAGCTTGCTAGAAAAATCTTATTTTAGTCCCATCTATCAAAGAACATAAAAGATGCACCACAGTTTATTAAAAAAAAAAAAAAGGGACTGTTTTGCATGTCCTACATATAATAAAAGCCTCACCCTCTTAAAGAAGCTGTCTTCCTATTTGTCTAAATCTTACCTTACTCCTTTGAAGTAAGAGTGGAAAAATGAAATGGAAATAAACCATTTTTTTAAAAATGGGATTCCGTGATAAACAGAACTTTGTGGCACTCACCACCACTGCACCTAGACCACAATAAAAAGGATGGGGGAAGGAATCAAGGTACAAAGTCTCATTACCCTTCTGAGCAAATCAGCATGGGAGAAATTGGAATTTATGCATTAAATTTCAAGCTAGGCTTGATCCAACTTTACAGCATTGGTCCTTTCTAGCCTACTTGGTTTATATGCAAGGTCTTGGGGTTTTGATTTTTTTCAATGGGCTGAGCTGAAAAAAGAGAACATCTTACAAATTCTTTACTGCAAGACATGTAAGAGTCTTAAGATATACAAAAAGAAAGAAAAACATTTTCTGCAGTCACTTGGGTTAAGTGAATTAAAAGCAACTTTGAACCAAGCAAACAGATTTGTAACTTACAAAAAAAAAAAAAGGAAGTGACAAGAGGCACATAACTGAAAATCAATATGCTTCACCTCATTTTTTGAACCCTGGGAAAGAATTACTCAGAAAATTCTTCCCCTATGGGCAGTGCATCT